AGGAAAAAATGATAATTAGTCGATTCAAATAGGTTTATAATATAATCACGGGAGATAGCTAGTACTTTTCTTTTTTCTTATTTTTAGTTTTACTTTATGTATATTTTTTATAATTAATAAAGTTACTGGCAGTGCCACATCGTTAAAAAAAAGGATTTTTCTATATTTAAAAATCTGTATCATACTGTAAATCTGTTATATCGTGAAATTTTTTATATCAAAATTCGCTATAGAAAGAGTTGACTGTACATATTATGTTAGATTATAGATATTAGATTATAGTTTTCTTAAATGCTAATACATAGTGAAATTCTGAATTTAATCATGATAATTAGCATTTAAAAATAACTCTAACCTTGCATAAATATATATTATTTGAATTTTTCAAATTTTTAGGTAAAATATAATTTCATATGTTTTAAAATAGTGATATCTTATAATACTAATGACTGAAAATTAGTATTAATATAAGATTATCAAAGGATTTAACTTTAAAATTTATAGAATAAAAATTTATAAAGAACTTTAAAGGTTGATATAATCAAAAGTATAATTTGAAAATAAAGTATAGATATAGGTTAAATGATTAGAATTTTATTAAGAAAAGGATTTATTATAAGTATATTTATTTTTAATATAAGTGTATTTAATAACTATCTTATTATCAATAAAACTAATTTGATAATATAAAAATAATAAATATAAAAATATTATATATCTGCTATTTCTTACATATCTGATATATATAATATATTTGATATATTAGTCAGATTTGATATATTTAGCATATCTGTTAGGATTGGTAGATTTGATATATTATGTGATAAAGTAAAAATTATATGATCTATTATATAAGTTGACTTTAATTATTTTTTTTAATACTATCAAATAAATATTGATAAGCATTTTTATCTTCTGAATAATTGTCAATTCTTTTTAAATTTTAAGTTTATATTAGTAAGTAATTCATTTTCTTTTAGGGTTAAACTAGTATATTATCAATAAGTTAGTACCTATTTTAAAATTTATTAATTAAAGTATCAAATAAATAAATTATATCTAAATTAATTAAGACTAAAATATTAATTATAAAATGTATTCAAGATATCACTGATTATTTAAAATAAATAACTACATTTAAAATAAAGAAATCTATATTTATTAAATACTATTCAGCAGCTCAATCAAATAGTATGTTTACAGAACTATCATTATTATATTTTATTTATTCTTTATAAGTTTATATATTAAAAAAAAGCTAAATGTGTTATAAATAAATGTGTTGAATAAAAAAACTGAAGAAAATAAAAAAATATAACAAAAAAATTTTATTTATAATAATATATCAAAAATTTAAACTAAACATAAAGTATAAAAAAATATTTAAATAAATAAAAAGAAAATATATAAAGAGAATGAAAAAAATATGTAAAATAAAAAAAAAGTATAAAAATTAGATACTAAAATTTATATATAATAATTAAGATTTATCAGCAATAATGTGTAATATTGTTAAATTTATGTATTTGATCAATATTATTAATCAAAAACACCCTAATTTTTTTTCAATAATCAAAAAAACCACAGAATTTATATAACTAACTTTTATAATCAAAAAAAACTATTATTTTAATCAAAAATGATCTATTTGTTAAATAATTACTTTTTTTGTTCTAGATCTACAGTCAAAAATTGATATAGTGAATCCTTGATATAGCGAATTTTTAAATCAAATATATTAAAATTACCTTACTATAGTGAACTAGCCAATTAAATTCTTTAAAAAATTCATTATAAGCTTATAACAATTTGATATCTAGATCTTAGAATTTGTTATATCAAGAGTTCACTGTATTTATTTATGTTATTCAATACAAAAAAAAATAGATATCTTTTTTTCTAAAACTTATTTATACTTTCTTTTTGAGGATTTATAAATTTTATTAGAATTAAACTAAAAATTTGTATTTTTTCTGCTTTTTTATTTTATTTTAATTTTTTTTACCAATTATCAATTTAATCATTACAAAATTATTATATAATATATTATTATTATAAACTTTTTATATCCAAAATATTTTACAAGTATCTAATACTTTATCTTTTACATCATTGCTATATAAAATAAATATTAAAACTAATTATTATTGAAATGTTATTTCAAATCTATATAAGTAAAACTTCTATAATAAAAGGAATTGTTTATTTCAATATATATGATACTATCAGAAAATGCATTTGTTTAAAAGGAAAGTTATCACAAAAAAACACAATCTTTATAAGCAATACCTTTTTATTATAAAGTTAATTATAATAAATATTTCATTATAATAAAGACTTCCATTAATTTGAAAGTTATATCATGTACTTCCAAGGATTATAATCTTTAAAAAATTCTTTAAAAAGTGGGTTTTTAAATTTTTACTAATTTAATAAAGGCATTAAGTTATATTAAAAATTATAAAAAGTTTTATACACATTCTATTTTCATCAAAAATCAAATGAGTATAATACTCTCTTTTTAATGAATAGTTTTATCATCAATTCTTTTTAGCTTAAAAATTGTTGTTTTAATTAATTAGTTTTAAATACCTTTTCATTTTCTAGTTTTAATAAATGGATGGAAAATTCTACTTAATCGCCTTTAGATCTCCTTTTATAATTTTAAACTCTTTTATAGTCTAAAAAAATATTGAATAGTAATTAATATTTTTATATAATACTTCATTTTTCATTAAATCTTAAAATTTTACCTTTTTATATTTCGACATATTCATAGAAATAATTTTTTAAATTTATCTAATCAATGATAGATACTTGTAGTTAAACCTCTTTATAAATTCTATCAATCATTCTAAGTATTTTGCTCACCCTTTTCTAAATGAACAAATGACCACTTATCCACCTTTTTTATTATTCATTACCCAATTTTTTTTTGTTAAAAAAAAAGGCCTTTTAATATTATTATAATTGTAGGATCTATGACTGATCTTATAATTTGTTAACCCAAACCTAAATATTTTAATGGAATATAAATTTGTGAAAAAGCATATAAATTACAACAAAAAGATTTTGAAAAGATTACTTTTAAGCATAATAAATGTAAAGAGAATTACGATAATTTAAGAAAGCAAAGATTGGACGAATTCATGCATGAATTCAATATTATTTCTCAAAAGCTTAAAGAAATATACCAGGTATCTAATGACATTCTTTATCTCAATATATGTTATATAAAATATAAACAAATTAGTTGTTTTTAGAGAATTGTTTTTGAAGAAAATGCCAAGCTTGAATGCAATAACTTTGACCCCTTTATGATAGCGTCATTTTTAGCATTAAGCCGTCAAAAAAGAGCTGGAGAAAGATCTCAGATTTATCTGATGAAGAAAAGGTATTTTGTGTATTCTTCAAAGTTTCAATGTTTCGATTTTAATTATACTTGATAATTAATGAATAATTATTTTACAAAATATAGACACTTTGTTTTAGGCTCTAACATTTGCTTTGCACCATTACAAACTTAAACACATATGTGTTATCCCTATAAGAAATCGAAATAAGGAAATGATACGTTTTTTATAAGGTTTGTATACGTAATTGATGATTCCGTATCA